AAGGAAGAGTATTCCAAGCTTCGACCACTCTTTTGTAGAAAAAGTACTTCCGAGCGCTAGCCTGGCCACAGTCTCAAGTAATTTTAGAGGAGAAGCTCTCAATTTCGTTGTTGTTGCTAAATCGACGAAATCTCCTGATAGAAGAAATTAGTAATGAGCATGTGATACGTGGAATGTTAGTATGGGGTCCCCCGAAGCTGTCTGTAGCGCAAATGAAAGTGTTTTGGATTTGAATGCTATGGTTTATAAGACAGTGAGCCCTGTCCAATGACAAATTTGGTTGCACGTATTTTGAACCTTTACGAGGATTTTTAAGTCTTTCACGGCTTACGGTCTCCATGCTGAGAGAGCGGCCTCCGGTTGCGGCCGCCCGAAAGTTCCTAAGACTTTGGTGAAGCAATCATCATCAAAGGCAGAGAAAAACCGCTTGAAGAGGTACAGAACCGACATCACAGACTTGGCTGCCTGTGCGAGGGCGTAATCCAGACTTCCAAGCCCTTCTGGCCATACACTCCTTTCAGTGGTATGCCATTTAGCCGGTAAACCGTGCGGTTCGTGCGCTTGATCTCATTGAACGGCAAGAACCAGTCCTTTGACTATTTTTGCAGTCGATACAGATTACCCTGCAAATTTTCTTCGCCAGTAGCAGTTTGAATGACTCGCCAAACTTCGATATCATCGGCATACAAGGCGATACCGCAATCCAGCCCGCTGACGCAATCTTTGATGTAAAACGAGGACAAAATTAAGGCCGAGCATGGAGCCTTGAGGAACACCACACTCAATCGCAACCTTGGCTGACAGTTTACGAGGGGTGATTAGAAAGTTTTCTATCCACGCCAGAAACCTACTTCCTACTCCTATACGGTGAGTTTATAAAGAAGGCGATGGTGTGGAACACAATAGACATCTTTTTTAAGTCGATATGGACCACGTGCACCGTATTCCCCGTATCGACTGCTTCAGTCCACCGTTCTAAAGAGTAGAGCAAATTTGATACACAGGAACTACCTCTGTGGGAGCCTGCCGCTGTTTACTCATCTGCTTGCTCTGTCAACGTGCCAGCTAATCAGCTAATCGATTTTGCGCATCGCTGACTCGCCTCGTCAATTCAAATAATTAGTTAATCGATGACCGCCTGTCCACCTGGTTGGCTGTAGCTTCACACTAAGCCACACAGCAAGCAAGGCGGATTCACTCGGCC